GAAATATGGTGACTGCGTGACGAGCTGGGCGAAGCGGCGGACGCAGCGTCGTGTGGTGTGTAGGAGCGCTACGACTCAGCCTCCGAGTGGGTCAAGTACATAGGAACAATGGAAGACGCGTATGAGGCCTACGCGCCGTGCTGCCAGGCGTCGTGGTCATACAGCTCGACTTGTGGCGCCGGAATATCGTCGCTGTTCCACGCAGCCTCGAGGTGGTCATCCGCGGGCATCGGGACGTCTGTGGGCATGTGCAAGACGCACGTGGCGGTGGCGTGGCACCCGCACTGCATCGGCTGGTCCATGGGTCGCTGCAGCCGCCGAAAATGGGATCTGCCTGCCGGAGCAGCCTGCCCCCAAAGCCTGCCCCAAGTCTTCTTTGGCTAGCGTTATGACAAAACAGGGTACCTTTCGGTTAAGTTCGTCTAAGCCAAGGTGCTCCATGCTATACTACTGCATCTATGCCGGCTACTGGTACTGCATCTATGCTGGCTAGAGGTCGGGTCTGGTTGGCGCACTTGGCCATGGCGTCAGTGGTTGCCGCTTGCTCTAGCGTGCAGGCATTTGCCGCCAAGGACGGTTGTACGTGCAGCAAGGCAAAGGTCTTCCTGCAAAGCTCTTGCGGCTCAAGACCTGACGGCTTCATCTGCACGCACTACACTCGCATCAAGATCCCTGGACTCGCATGACCATGGGCTATAATAGTTTCGATGAGTAGGAGTATCAAGTCTGGATACTGACATGATACACACCGGGACACTTTGATCCGTGTGCATTCCAACGAGTATTTTTCAAAAGTTACTACATATGGCCCACTTTTTGCAAAAGTTACTACAGTCAAACCGTGGATTAGCAGCCATGGTCGTTCAGTGGCAGAAGTGGTACTCACTGCCTCGTTCAACGAACCTGGACAGAAAGGCTAAATCACATGGTTTCGAATGTATACAAAAAACAAGTATATTCAATGTCAGGCACACCGTACTTGTTGCCGATGGCCTCATGGGACAGCATCGTTGTCTTGAGAAGCTCGACAATCTCGGCTTGTTTGTCCACAGTCAAGCGCTTGCGTCGCGGGCGCAATCGATCGGGAACCTCCTGCTCGGGTCCTCGGCCTCGGGGCATTCTCACAGTCAATGCTGTGTGATTGGTTGAAATCCAGAACGAAGGTCGACGAAGACCATGTGCCCGGTCGTGTACCCAACAAAAACCATGTGGAATACCGATTCAAAATCGCTCGAAGCGATGCGATTGGCTGAAGCCCACAAAATTGACTCATGATTGGTTAGATTCGCTCGATCGTGAACCCTGATTGGCTGTTCGTGATTTGCTGAAGCGAGGTCGTTTAGTGGCGCCTACCCCTAACAAAAGCCGGCTATTAAACCGCGTTTTGACTGTACATCGGCGTGAATTTTAGAAAAGTTACTACACAAGGATACTTTGTTCAAGATATCCCGCCTGGTACCGCCAGGTAGCAACTTTTTTTGAAAAAGTTGGCCAAATGTAGTAACTACACTGTATTAAAAACAACTCGCATTCCTTGTAGTTCAGCTTTGCTCCAGACAGTGACGTCTGACACAGAGCGCGTTGTGATGCGCCTCACGCGCGGCCACCCAACCGTCCCCACGCAACTACTGAGAGCGAGTGGCTGCGATATTCTGACAACAAGTGAGCAGTTGATACGCTGATACGTTGATAATCCGGGTACTAGTTACATGTATAGAAGATCATGTCCCGTCAAGTGCGATTTTGTAGTCCCTGTTAAGTGCTGTCATACGATGGGCATTACTGTACACTTGATTTTGTACGACGCACTTATCAGGGTTCGTCGCCTTCACAGCCGCACCTAACACGTACACCGCGCCTTTATATCCCGACAGCGGAATTGCGCGGTCATGGCAAGAACGCCTTCTAGTACCATGGGGCCTCATGAGAAGCAGGTGAAGCCACGAACGGTGTACGAGGCGGAGCTCTTCCGGGAGTGGCAAGCGCAGAAGATGCAAGAGACCCGAAGGAAAACAAGACTTGCGAAGCGTGAGGGTCCCGCCGCAGCGACCTCATCGACGAAGGCTAACTCGACTCATGACGAAGGCGTCAAAGAAGCTCTGAAAGAATTAGATGATCCAGATGACCCATGTGCGATGCCACATTGAAGACTACAGCAAGCGAAGGTCGCACGTCGACTTTGTCTAGGCCAACCCGCCGTCGTCGCAAATACGGGTAAGCAGCGCTTCGCATTCAAAAGTTTCTACCAGCTCACCCCGCACGGGACCTGTTATATGTACTGCTACTATACTGATAGGTGTTGACACCGTACACGACATCGAGCGACGGTTGCCGCTGCGGATATCGGGCTGCGGTTCAAAAACTATTTGCGTTGGCGGCGCCATGAGACGTGCCATCATGGACGGCTGCGTCGGGCCGACATCTTCCCCTGCTCGTCGCGTTGCCTCCTGTTGCGATGCAGCCTGCGCGTGCCACCAACTGGGCGTTGTTCTGCTTGTCATTATTGCTTTATTCCTGCGGCGAAGCTCTGCAGCGATGATAGAGGAGCAAGGACAGAATCAATACATTTTATATATACTCACACCACGAGCTACATGGAAATACCAAGGTTGCTGTCGTCGCCATACGGACTGAACGAGCTCTTGGAAAAGTGCAGCGACCGGCACGACGAGTGGAATGAGAACATGCCTTCCATCGCAGGGTGGTCGTCCGCCTCAAAGTAGTCGGTCTGCTCCCCTTCATTATTGTTGGTGTCGCCACACGGCACGTCGCTTGGTGCCGACACCGAGCTGCTGAGAATGCTCACGTCATCACTCATGACGCACGTGCCCGTTCCTTGCTGGTCGCCAAGGCCCGTCAGCGCTACAATGAAAATCTTCGTTCTGAGACTATCCTTCCGTCGGCCATCTCTACCGGACGATGTCGGGAGCGGCTTGGCGCCTGCGCTGCCGACAAAGCATACGTGGCAGAGCCGCAGCGTCACGGTCGATGTTTTCCGAAATTGGATCGGCCACTTGCGACTGCACTGGTGACACACGACCTAGAGCAGCACCCAAGGAGGATGAGGGTCCACCGATATCCACACGAAAACGTAGTACGTGGCCACACTTGCGGCAATGCGACTTGCGGTAAAAGAGGCCAAACTTTTTGTCGCAACACGCGCAAAAGTTGGCGATGGCCTTGCTTTGGAACGACCCCACGGGCGCAAACTCGCCGTGGTCCAGCGCCGACGTGATCCGTTCAAGGTGGAAAAACTCTTCCAAATTGAGCACCTACACAACCACCTACCTTGTCAGCATCGGATGATTTCGTATCATTTCAAGAGACAAACCCGCGCGCACTGGTGGTGGAGCATCTTGAGGTTGACGGACCGCGGCACTTTGCCGTTGGGATTCGTCACGTACACGCAGACATAGTCGAGCACGTTCGGGTCGTCGGTCTCGATGAAAATGTGTCCCGACTATCCAATCGCAACAACAATATTGTCCTGTGGTTCGTAGACTCGAAACAGGCGCGTACGCGGACCAAGGACGACCGCACGAGGCCGTGTGTCTCGCGCAGCGGCGGGCAGCACGCCATGTCGATCGAGTGCACGGCGCGCACAAAGCCTCGGCGCGGCACTTTGGCGCGCTCGTCGTAAAACTCGAATTCGTCGTGCGCCTGCGCCGAAGTCGTATCGACCATAATAGTGTGCAGACGAAGAGTACCTCGAGGAAGCACGTGTCGCGGTTGGAGACGCCAAACGGACACTCCATGACCATCCACTCGACGCCAATGTAGTGGAGCGGGCTCAGCGCCATGAGCTGGTTGCGCTGCGTGGTCAGCCCCGGGTGGTCCATTAGCGTATACAGCGTCTGTCGGTCCAAAATCGTTTGGCCGACGACCGAGGCATAGGCGCGGAGCTTGGTGTTGGTGTCGAGGTAGAAAAAGTCGGCGACTTGCGCGAGCGTCGACGGGATCTGCGTGTACGCGCACATGCCATCGAGCTGCCGGTTGAAGACGTCGGTGCCTCGGCGCATCTACTCGATGATGCACGATAAGATCTGACGATTGGAGATTGAACGTACGCGCGCGCGGCGCCGTGTCTTGGCGTTGGTGAGCACGGCGTGACGGGCGCGAGCTGCATCGACATGGCGTTGAGCACGACGTCCTTGCAGATCTTTTGCCCGAGCGAAATGAGCTGGTCCTTCTCGCAGCGCATCAGCGGTGGGCACTTGAAGTAGTCGGGGCGCAGCGGCAGCGTCATCGCACTCATACTTTTGGAGCAAACTCAAAGTGGTCGAGACAGCCCAATACTTGCTTCGCATCTTGTCTCTGCAGAGAGGTGTACGTCATGTGCGAATTCCGGGGAGCGTGCAAATCGACGCCGTCACCAGAGCGATCGCATTTATTGTTCGCACCAAATGAAGCATACATTTCTCAAATGATTAAATACAATTTCCGTCCGACCAGACCAAGCGGCAGCTGCAAGCGACGGCAATGTTAAGCCGAATCAGACGGCGATGCCGGCAATTCCCTTAAAAAGTACATTTTTTTACAGCCGCGTGGGCCGCCGAACGTGGGGACTCTTCTAGTAGTAGCCCGCGTGTCGGCGTCGCTTTGCTGTTACGGTAGAATGGAGAGATTCTTGTCGCCTGTCACTCGCACCAAGCGACTACTGCGCTCTGCTTTTCGCTTCAACCAAAGCCCAAAATCGACCAGCGCACGTCCATGCTCAGACCACATACCAAAAGGGTACATAGCTCACAAGACAACGTTGGGAGTCTCGTGTCGATGGGTTTAGGGCATATACGACAAGGCTAGAGACGTCTACGCGGACTATGTACTTCTATCACTATCACTTGGTGCAGACGCGGCCGCGACCACAGCGCTCGGAGCTGCCGTCTTGGAGACGGTAGGCTGGCAGGTAGCTTACACTGCCCGTGGCATCGGTCACGGCAAGCGCGGGGTTGCGCACCGTGTTGTGAATGCTACCCAGCGACGTGTACCTAATTCCGAGTCGTCAGAATCGACTATGACAGCGTCGAGAGGCGTACCCTTGGTCGTACAAAGAGCAATACTCGAGCTGCAGTTCTTGGAGAAAGACCCAGACATACTCGTACTTCCAGAGCAAGATCGGGTTGACGCGGAAGAAGGCGGGCCAGCCCTTGGAGCTCGGCGCAAAGTGCTCGAGGTCGTCTGTGAACGGGTCGCCCTTGCGCACGCCCATCGTGAATGCTTGGACCCCCCGTTTGTCCATGATGTTCTGGATACCCTCCATGAACGAGCAGGCCTGGACGCCGCATTGGAGGCCGTACGTCGCAATGCAGTGCGAGATAAAGTCGTTGACTTCGGCAAACTGGTCCGTCGTGTGAAAGTACAGCACGGGCATACGCTGCATGGCCGCGTGGTACGCGGCCTCAAAGGCCTCGGGCGGCTGCTGCGTGCGCGCGAGCGAGGCCAGCACGCGCTTGGCGACCGCGATCCGCAGCAGGTGCAGCACGACCGTCGAGTCCTTCCCGCCGTTGAAGCTGAAGCAGATCTTGTCGAGGCCGAGAATGTCAATCGCGCGGTCGAGGACCTCGATCGAGCGCAGGAAGGCGCAGCGCGTGTCCGCGTCCACGCGTGCGCAGAGCGCGTCGAAGCGGGCCACGAGGTCTTCCATGCGCTTCGCGAACTTGCCGTGGCACGTACGTGGCCAGCGTATCCGGATCCTCCGCATGCCACATTGCCGTTTCCAAGTGCGCGCACTTGAGGCGCATGTGACATGCGGGCTGTAGACCGACGAGCAGTTATGCTCGAGAGATGGGATGGCGGATGACCTCAACGCAAACACACCGCGTGTCTAGTCTAGTGACAATATATTGAACTACGTAGAAGAATATTCGCGTCTACCGTGCTGCATGGTCGGCTGCCAATAGAAAGGTCGCATCGTCAAGATAACAAAGAGAGCGTGGATTTTTGTCAATTTTCGTCATATTTGCAGTCGACGCACGAGTCTACGTACCGGTACTAATAGTCTACGTAGTACGTCTAGATAACAATGTCCTACCCTGGTGGGAGCGCTTCTTTTGATCAAAGTATAGTACCGAATCCAACACATCGAGCGTGGCCTCTGCGTATGTGCGCAAGGCTGTCATGTCATCACAATGTAGCGTCAAAATCGAACGTCTCGACTGTGTCTTGTCCCTTTACAAAGTTGGTCCTGGGGCCCTAAAATATACTGTCCTTGATCACCGGTCCTTGGTCGCGAATGGTCTCTGCTTGTTGTGAAACCGAATCCTCCGGATATTGCGCGTCAACGAAACAGGCCGGTATTATCCGGATGATGCAGCCACTGGGTTCTGATCGGCGACAGTGCAACAGTGCGAAAGCTTCGGGCGCCGACGCGAATGGTTGCCGACCTCTTCCAGTGCCCACCGCTTTCGCGCTGCGAGCGAGACCGACTCATGGAGAAGGCGCACATCGCGTGCAAGCTCACGGTGCGCAATGCCTGCGCGTTCGCCGCACTCTACCCGCTCGATAGCGAGCTCCAAAACGACCGCACCGGCCGCCGCGCCACGGTAGTATGCAGTGTCAACTCCGTCATCATCGCCTGTCTCCGCATAGATTCACAAGGGCGTCGACATCGATGGCAATGTGCCCGAGGCGGCCATGTGTGCGCGCACGCACGTACGCGCGAGCCTCGAAGCCGTCGCCAACTTCTTCGTCCTCGACACACCTGCCAAGTGCGACGCGTACAGCCGCGTGACGGGCCACCTCGTGCAGAACACGCAATCGCTCTACACCCTTGTGGCCCGCGGCGGTGGCTTGCACTATATTGGCGTCAACTGGATGGTCGCCAAGACGCCGATCGGGCTCAAGGCACGCGACTTTTGCTACCTCGAGGTAGAACGCTCGAAACAGCGCATAAGACAGCGTCCAACTCGCGTAGGTCCATGACGAGTTTACGTTTATCGATCGAGCGACACAGCGCGTCCGGCGCGGCTGGGTCCGCTGCATGCATTCGATTGCGCTCGCGTCGTGTCCATCCTTGGAAAAGTCGCATGGTTACGTGCGATCCCGATTTGTCCGCGTACTACGATCCCATCTTTTCGGCGCGAGTCGTCTCACCTGTGGACCGTAGTCGGGCCATGTCGTTTTGGAGACGGCCCGGCCCGGCGAGCTCGAGTACTACAATGTGCTGTGCGGCGTGACGCGGCGACCGGGCTTTACGCCCGTCCTCGCACAAGACTTTGTGCTGCGCCGCCACGTGAGCCAGGTACATGAGTATCTCCTGTTATGTACAATACTAGTACTGTATTAATGCACGGACTCTAGGTTCTCAACCTCGAAGACCACTTTATCACGCAGCGACTCAAGACGCTCCTCGAGACACCGACGTCGTCCTTCCCCAACAAGGACGCGATCGAGTACTGCAGTGTGTGCTACCACAAGTTTGCTTGGCTATCGGTCAAGCGCCAGTGCCGGGGCTGCGGCGACGTAAGTGAACTCTTGTGGCGACTCGTGGAAACGACAGAGTCTGTAGGTGCTGTGCACGCGCTGCTGCAATAAGTGGGACGTCCCGTTGTCCGAGACGGTCATCTCGATGACGGTATGCCAGCGTTGCACCCGTGACGGCCACGCACGCGACTCGTCACTGCCTGCATCACCAGTCCACAGCCGCTTCCGACTCGACGAGGGTACATGCTTGCATCGGAGATAGAGACTTAAGCAATGAGACCATAGAAGACGATGTGGACATATGTGTCCCAAACGACAGCGATGCCGCGTCAAGTCCGCTGGGTCTCCACCACATGACGTTCAAAGGCGAAGAGGATGACTTGGCACTGGCCGCCGTCTCTCCGTTCGAGTGGACGTCCCCACAGCTCATCCATCTTTGATAGAGCGACGGGCGTTAAATAGTCGTTTTTTGTTACAAAAGGCGATAGTTCCAACTACACGACGTGGACAACTCGTCCTCGTTTTTATCGCAGGACAAATAGAATGTCTTTGGGCGTCACAAAGACGTCGGCGCTCGGGTTGACGTACACGTAGCTGTTTTGCTGGGTCTGCGGGCGATACAGGCCCAAACACAGAATATTCTAGCGAGCCATCACGACACATGTGTGCATGAAGGACGTACGTGGTGCAAAAGAAGGTTCTCAAAGCACGCGCCGTACGGTCGACCCCACAGCGTCGGCGGAATCGTGATCTGGTCGAGACATCGCCCGGCCTCGTCGCCCCGCGGCGGTTCGCCCAGAATGAAGAGGTACATGAGGTCAATGATGCTGCCGTGCTTGTCGCATGTGCCAAGAAGCGCGTCGAGTGCATTGGGAAAAAAGACCTTGCCTACACTCCCAGCGTTCGCATCGGTTCTGCATGCGGGCAAAATATTATGGAACGCACCGGACGCAAAGATGGGGGTGCAAATGCTGTCGAGCGGGTCATCGGAGCGCGAGAGTACTTGGCGCTTGTGCGCACGAAGGATCTCGACCGTCTCTTCGTCGGCAGGCTCCTTGTTGTGTTCGTCCTTGACAAAGCGGAGGCTGCTCGGCCGGTTCTAGCCATTCCCTCGCAATATAGCAACTCCTATCGGCAGCAACCACGTACAAGCACAATAAGAATCCGAGGCAGCGGCATGTCCGGGTGACGGCTCGTTTCACAAAACTCCGTCACGAACCGATAGAGCGTCAGCGCATCGGTATCAATCATGTTTTCATCGACGAGATCCGGCTCGTCGTCGCAGTCGTCGTCGTTGGTCGAGCTCAGAATGACGACGCTTTTGCTCTTGGCCGCGCACGCGGTTGTCAAGACGTGCAGATGCAGTGGGGAGCCATGGAGGAAGTAGACGTGCTTGAAGTGCGCAATGCTCGCGTGCTGCTTCTCCGAGATCGGCGTCGCGCTCAAGACCACGATGGGAACGACAGCCGCAAACTTCTTTTGCGGACGATTGGGCTGCCGCAACGGCGCGACAAAGTCGTGGAGCATGTTGGGCATGCCGCAGAGAAGAATGTGATCTTCCAAGTCGTCTGGCACGCGCGTTGTGAGGAACGAGAGGTAGTCGAGCGAGAGCTGCGAGTTGGACCGACTGTTCTTGTCCTGTTGAACGACGACCTGCGTCGCACTGGCGTCGGGTGGCGGTGTCGCGCTAGCGACATTCAAGGGCGGAAGGCGTTTGGCCGGGTGCGGCTGCGACGGCAACGGCATCTTCTCGGACGACTCGTCGTCACCTTCGATGACTTTGGGCAGCGGTTGAAACGACGTTGGCTGCGGTGCGGCAGAGACAAATGGCTCGGTCGCATCCTGCGTCGTGCCGTCATCGCCATTCGTTGGTACGTCCGTCTCGGTCGTGCATGGCACAACGATACTGGATCGATGCGATGCATCCGAGTCGGCTTCGGACGCGCGGCCGTTCGACTTGATCGAATAGAACGAGCTGTCGACAAGCGACGTGCGATGCGTCGTGCGCGTCAGAAGCAGCCGCCGGCTGGACTGCTGGACACGCGTCGCGAGCTTGGACGTGAACGAGTGCTTGTTCCATGCGCGCGTGATTTCGTCAAAGTTGTCGAGCATCGTTTGGTACCTACACACGTTTCGTTGGTCTCCAAGCCCATAGACAATATTCTGCACTTTTGGAGCAGGGTGAGGGAGAGGGCGCCGACGCGCCGCGAACAGTCGGGTGACGTCGACAAGATGTACACTTTGTAGTCGCAGCGGACGCGTGTTTTCGCAGGAAAGAGCCGGTACTCGTCGTTGTGGCCCATGGCAATCGGGACGATCCCAAACTCTTGGAAGAGCACGTACGCCAGGAACGCAAACGAGACAAGTCCGTCGAGGAACCTCGGCACGCGCACGTCGTAGACATCGTTGCTGCAGCCGCGAAGAAAGTCAGACGCCCACACGTGCGAGCGGCTACGCATGCATATCAGATCAGATACCGCACCTCTGCGTTCGTACTCGACGCCACGGAAGGGCCGGAAGGCAAAGAGGATGCTGCACACAAACGCCGAGACGCCAGGTAAGACGCAGGAGCGCGCGAGAATACCGAGCTTGAGCTGGTCCAGACACACAATGTTGTTGGCGCCCGAGAGGTGGACGTGCCGAATGTTGTCGGTTTTGAGCACTTGCACGAAAATCGGCACTAAAGTGGACATGAGTGGTCCATTTTGCGAATCAAGAGACACGGACGGTGTTTGTTGAATCGGCGCAGCGAAATCGTGATG